TTTTGTATTATACTCTTTATATTCAATTTTATTTTTATATTGTTTTGCAATATAGTATACAATAATTTGTTTATATTATATTATTGTATATTAGATTAGATTAGATTACATCATGTTATTTCATACTATGTGTGCGCGCGCGCGGGTGTGTGTGTGTGTGTGTGTGTGGCTTTCTTGGACTGTCGGCTGGCCACAGATGAGGGTTTCGCTTCAAGGCCTGCGCAGGGATATGCCGGGAATGTATACCAGTTTAGTGTATTGGGTTTTAGGGTTTGAGGGTTTAGGGTTTAGGGAGTATTCAATATAGTCACAATGTGTGTCCGGGGAGTGTTCGAAGAGGGGAGAAGGCATCATTCAGAGTCCTTGTGCCGAGCGCGGCCGGGGCTGTATCCTGCATGCATCCTTGCGCGGAGCAACTTCTGAGTCGTGCCTGTCCTGGTCAATGTAGACCCATGATCAGCAAACCCCCCTTGCCTTACTCAAGGTCCTTAAGATCAGTAAAGCCGAGCGGTGCCCGCGAGGGTGCAGAGAGAGTTTGTGTGTGTGTGTGTGAATTTCCCTAGCACATGGGAATAGAGAGCCGATCGGACCAAGCATTGCAGTATAGCTTCGGCCATGAGTGATTTGCAGGGGGACGGGAGCTGACTTGCCTATCCTGTCCAACGAAGCTATGGCAACTCAGTGGATGCACAGCCCGATCAGCTGTGTGTACCTGCAAGTGATACTGAACGTAAGGAAGCATTTAACATCATCGCCGTGAGTTGGTTGTCAACGACGCAGCAGCAGCCGTCGAGTGTGAAGCTTCATGTTGGAACGCAACACCCCTCCCTCACCCACTTTGCTTGCCTCGACCTCTTCTCTTTGCCGAAATCCATCAGTGTGATCCAGCGTGGGTCCCGGAGACTCCAGAATCAACCACGTCGTGCGAATACCTTATTCGCTGGAAATCGTCGACAGTATCCCAGCCGACATGCCCACGCCACTACATGTGGCGGAGCAAATAGCGGCGGAGATGATAGAAAGTGGACAAGTGCGCATGGAAGTTTGGGAATTACTTTGTGACTGCTTGCCTTCGGATGAACCCAGAAGAGAAGCCAACAGTGGCAGAGCCAGCAGCATGGGCTTCTGCAGTGGAGCCTATAGTAGCGAGGGCCCACTTTCTGGATTGAGGCGAAACACCACCTTGTTCCCCTGGGTTACCCTGCTAGTGTGCAAGTTCATCCGATCCTGCACACATGAGCCATTCACCAGCTTCGTCCTCCAGCGAAACACATCGATGGGAGTACATAAAGACTTCAACAATGCCAGAGACAGTGTCAATGTCCTGCTCCCATGCTCAACCTTTCGAGGAGGCGGGCTATGGATTGAGCAATCTGGTGGCCAATGTGCATCGCAGGATGGCACACTATATGGCGAAGTACACCACGTCACCATGTCCGGCATCGCCTTCAACCCCTACCATCGACATGAGACCTTCCCTTGGGAAGGACACAGGATCACAGTTGCAGTCTATACTGTCAGAGAAGTCCACTCGCTTCGACCAGAACATCGTGAGATTCTGCAACGGCTACAGTTTGTGATACCCGCCCCCAATGACGACAGGGCCACAATCAGAGAAGATTTGGAGGCAGAGACAAATGTACAAACAATGCCAGACAGTGTGCCAATGAGCCACTAGAGTGTGCCCTGAGCCACTTGTATATGCCACTACTCAAATGTACAAACCTACGGAATGGCATGTACAGACGCCTTCAGGATTACGGATTGTGGATGCAGGGAGTCCACCTTAGCCAGTGGCCCCTTGTATCATCTGCATCGCTCGCAACCTTTTTAAACTTTTCTTCCGAGAGCTCCTCGAGAGCCCACCGTTGAACATACAACATCTCTTGATAGATGAGTAGGACGCAAGTTCGCTGCTATTCGTAGCGGAACTTGCCCATGTGGTTTTGTGCTCTTGAAGCACCGGTGCCAAGCACTGCCACATACCTGACGCTAAGCTGAGCGACCGGCTGCGATTGGAATGAAATAGTAGTAGTAGTAGTCGTCGTCGTCGTCGTCGTACTAGTAGTAGTGGTAGTAGCAGTAGTAGTAAGTAGTAAGTAGTAAGTAGTAAATAGTAAGTAGTAAGTAGTAAGTA